CTTCAAAGCCTCCAGAGATGGAGCAGCCACACCGTCTGCAGGTAGGACGTCCAGGTGTGTGTTTGGCGGGGGGGGGTTCAGCTGCTCATCCCCTCCCTCCCTCCCTCCCGCCCCCTGCTCACCTGGGCCAACTGGGCGTATCCCTGCAGCTCGGCCTCCACGCTGGGAAGGCGGTTCCGGTACGACAGGAGGACGTTCTCCAGAGAGGTGACCGCCTTGTCAACGTCCAGGAACAGGTCAGCCTTCTCTGGGAGACAAAAAAAACCCAGGATTTTCCCGATCTCTGTGGAGCACCTGGAATCCCCCAGTCCAGGTCAGTGGAGTCCAGAGGGGGGGTCAACCCCTGGGGATGGGGGTGGAAGGAACCGGGCCTGCGGACCCGAAGGAGGGATGGGGAGGCCTGATGGGTCTAGGACAGGGGTAGGCAACCTCGGCTCTTTTATGACTCATGGACTTCAACTCCCAGAATTCCCGAGTCAGCAGAGCTGACTCGGGAATTCTGGGAGTTGAAGTCCATGAGTCATAAAACAGCCGAGGTTGCCTATCCCTGGTCTAGGACAAAGGATCCCCCTCCCTCTGCTCCTGGGAACCCATTTGGAAGGACACACGTGAGACCAATCTGGGGGGTGGACTAGAAGACCTCCGGGGTCCCTTCAAAGGCTAGTGTTCTGGGATCTCTCCAAAAGAGACAGGGGTTTTCTGCTCTCCGAGGGCTCAACCGGCCAGACCTCCTTGGCCCAAACCAGCCGGACTGCAGCCTCTGCAGACCGACCGGCGCTTCCGTTCCCAGCAAGAACCGGTTTGACCCGAAGCCCCGGTCCGAGGCTCCTTCCAAAACAAGGGCCGGCTGGGAGAGGAAGCCAGCGGTCAGGAGCGACCCAGCAAGGCTGGCCTTTTCTTCCCGGTTCCAGATTCGAGATTTCCCACGCTTGGCCCAGCGAGATCCAAGCCCCCCCCCCGGCCAGGCTGGGAGGGTCTTACCTTCTTCTTCCGGACCAGCTGGAGGCGGGGGGGACGGGCTCCTGGTCCGGCTGGCAAAGAGGGACGGGCATCGGGGGAGGCTGGCGCTGGATTCGGAGCCCAGATCGGAAAAAAACCCCTCCTCCTCTCTGCAGCACAAGAAGAGGAAGGCGGGGGGTGGGCGAAGGGGCCGGGGAGGGGCTTGGCCTGGGGAGGGGGCTCGGCTGGGGCAGAGGGGGAGGGTGGGTGGGAAAGGAAATGCCCTCCTGGGGACGCCACGGACACATCACCACCATCATTCCTTGGAGAAGTCAGCCCTGGGATCTCCGAGTGGTCTCCCATCCAAGATTTAAGGCAGGCAGAAAACTGCCCTGCGACACCCGGAAATCGTGCACGGGACCGACGACCACCTGCTTAGCGACTGGATTACGACAGCGCTGAAAAAGGGACTCACGGCCGGTTTTCCCCAGGAAAAGTCAGGTGTTTGGCAACTGGCTTGTACTTGTGACGGTTGCAGCGTCCTGCCGGCTCCCGAGATCGCCATTTACCACCTTCCCAGCCAACGTCCGGCAAGAATAGCCAACGGGGGGGAGCCGGGTTCGCTTAATGACTTAACGGCAGCGATTCACTTAACCACGGTGGTGAGAAAGGGCGTAAAATGAGGCAGCATGTCTTGCTTAGTGACAGAAATCTTGGGCTCAGTTGTGGCTGGCGGTGAGGACTAGCAGCAATAGTTTTTCCTCTGGCGTTGGGGCTAGATAAATTATCTCACTGCGGAGGTGCCCGAGTCCTCCGTAATCTGCTTTTCCTGGTGGGATTTTCACAATCCCGGGTCCACGCGGGGCTGCCTGCCCCCCTGAGCCCATGAGGGGGTTCCTTGGCCCGTTTGGACCACCCACCCGAGGAAAGTGGGGCTAAAGAGGGGGTGGGCGCAGAGGGGGAGAAGGGAGGAGTGCCCCCCACCGTCCGCAGGGACTGACCTGGCCTTCTCCCGCTGCAGCCGCTCGAGCTTCCCCTGCAGCCGGGCGACGGTGACCATCAGGCGGGTGATGCGCTCCTCGTACTGCAGGGCGGCTTCCTCGCCGGGCTCCTCCTGGGGGCCTTCCCCGCCGGGGGGGCCCAGCTCCCCCTGCAGCCCACGGGGAAAGGGGGAGCATCAACCTCCCCCCAAGATCCAGAGGGTCCCACCCCACCTGCAGCCCACGGGGAAAGAGGGAGCATCAGCCTCCCCCCAAGATCCAGAGGGTCCCACCCCACCTGCAGCCCACGGGGAAAGGGGGAGCATCAGCCACCCCCCCAACAGAGGGTCCCACCCGGCTGGGGAATTCTGGGAGTTGCAGTCCAGCCGTCTTAAAGCTGACACGGTTCAGGAATGCTGGATTAGACCCTCTCCCCTCCAGCCCTCCCCTCCTTTGCCCCCTGCAAGCCACCCTGAAGGGCCGCCTGGGCACTGCTTGGCCCCGGACTGGGGCCTCCGCGTGGGCCGAGGGCTACGGACCCACCTTGGATGGGGCAGGAAGCCCGGAGTTGCTTTCCCCAATCAAACACTGGAAGCCAGGAATTTTTTTGGGGGGGGGGGGAGACTTTCCTGTGTTTTTCCATGGGAATAACGACTTATTTGTCCCCCCAGGATGAATCCCCTCCACTCCTGGCTTCCAGACCGGGGGGGGGTCATTCCTGGGGACGCGGCTGGGATGCCAGGCCCGGCCTCCGTCCAGGGACCCCTCGCAAGGCCTGGGCGGCTTCGCCAGGCAAGGAAACCGGGAGTGTTGTTGATGCCCCTGGCAGCTGGCGAGCCCTGGGTGGTTGCCAGGGTCCCTCAGAGATCAACTAGTCCACCCCAGCTGCCCCCAAAGCAGGAAATTAGAGCACTTCACGTGGGAAAGGACTGCTTAACTGGGGTTTCTGGAGTTCTAATGGAGACTCAGAAACCCTCAAACTGGACCGGAGGTTTTCCCACGGGACCCCCACCCTCCCCAAATTCTCATCTACCTCTTCCATTCTTCGTTCTGTCTTCTCTCCCTTGCAAGTAAGCCGGTTCTTGGCCCCGATGGATGGATGGCGGCTGGCTTTTCCTGTTGATCTGCAGCCTTCCCAGCTTCCCTACACGTTTCCTGTCCTCCGTGAGGGGAGGGGGCCGTGCCCTGGTCAAGCCTCGCCTCGCCTTCATCCACGGCCCGACAACCGACCGTATTGATAAGTGTGCCACAAAGCAGGACAGAAAAAAATTTAGATTTTGTTTCAGAATGAAGATTGTGTGGATCGTAAAATCTGTGCTGGGTCCCCGTGGAGGTTAGGGGGCCCTATGGAGATGGGAGAGCCTCGCACGGAGGATTCATTTTGCTTTATGGCACAGCGCAGGGCAGCGTTCCTCAACCTTGCAGCTGGAGCTGTGCAGCTGAGGAACGGCTGGGGAATTCTGGGAATTGAAGGACACACAGCTTCAGGCCACCGAGACTGAGGAACAATGGGATTGCAGAGAGTTTACAGTCGGTGTAATTCTTCTAAGCGGGCAGCCCCTCTGCTTCATTTTGCGTCAGTTGCAGCTTCCAGGGATTCTTAAGTGTTGTATTAATTGAATGCAACAAAAAGAAAAAGAAATCTTCAGGGAAAGAAAGAAAGAAAGAAAGAAAGAAAGAAAGAAAGAAAGAAAGAAAGAAANGGGTGGGGGCGGCAAAAGAGCCTTGCTCTGTGTCGCCCCTTCCTCATCCTGCCTCTCTTAAGGAGGAGGGATGCAGTCGAGGGGCTAACGGGGATCCCTAAATGGAGAAAGTGCATCTGAAGACCCCGAAAAGTCTCATCTGGGGTCTTGGCCACTTTTAAGACTTGTGGACTTCAACTCCCAGAATTCCCCAGCCAGCTCTGCTGGCTGGGGAATTCTGGGAGTTGAAGTCCACAAGTTTTAAAGTGGCCGAGTTGGAGACCCTGGAGTAGACAATGGGCAGGCCCAATTGGCCCGAACTCCTGAGTCTTGCACAGATGCCAGTTGTGACTTCTGCCTGTTGAGGGTTGTGGTGGAGCACCAGTTCCCAGAATCCCCAACCAGCATGGAAAGCCTAATCGGGAGGGGCTACAGATCTGGAAGCCAAGTTGCCTTGGATCAGCGGTTTTGAACCCTGACCCTTTGAAGAGGGGTGGGCTTCCACCCTCCCCAGAATTCAAGAAGAGCCCTTATTTAATGCCATTTTTAGATGGGCAGCATATATAATAATAATAATAATAATAATAATAATAATAATAATAATAATAATAATAATAATAATAATAATAGTCGGAAGGGACCTTGGAGGTCATCTAGTCCAACCCCCTGCTCAGGCAGGAAACCCTATACCATTTCAGACAAATGGCTGTCCAGTCTCTTCTTAAAAACTTCCAGTGTTGGAGCATTCACTGCTTCTGGAGGCAGGTTGTTCCACTGGTTAATTGTTCTAGTAATAATTTAATAATTTAATAAATTCACAATTAAAGTTGGCAAGCTTGAAAACTTCCGTGAAAGCGGTTGCACTCTGAACTCCCATTTCTGTGCCTGTCTGAGGTTGTGTTTATAATTAATAACAAAAAAAAAAAAGAGGAAGAAAGGAACAAAACACAAAGATAATAGTGGTGGGGTTACATTACATTCTGAAATGGGGGGGGGAAGAGGAAAAAAATGTTTAACAAAAAAGAAATATGAGCGAGAAAAAAATGATGTAAATATCATATAAATGTATTACAAATATGTACCTTTTGGAATAATGTTTGCACTAGACCGGGGTAGGCAACCTTGGCTCTTTTATGACGCGTGGACTTCAACTCCCAGAATTCCTGAGCCAGCTATGCTGGCTCAGGAATTCTGGGAGTTGAAGTCCACGCGTCATAAAAGAGCCAAGGTTGCCTACCCCTGCACTAGACAAATATGTATAGAATTGTACATGTTTACAATCTCTTTGCTGTATCTGTTCCCCAAAGGGAGGATCGTCAGAAACCACCCCTCCCAATTGTGTCACTCTCCCGGTGGGCGTCCGGCAATCCTGGACTCGCCCCCAGCCGGTGGGACCTGGATGGACACCTCGGAGACCAACAGCGCGACGGAGGAGGAGGAGGAGGAGAAAATGGCCTCCGAGCAGCGACCCAGGACCCGGTCCAACCCGGAGGGGGCCGAGGACCGCACCCTCAGCCTGCAGGCCAGCGTGGGCAGTCGAAGCGAAGGGGAGGGGGAGGCGGCCAGCACCACCACCAGCCCCCCCAGCTCTGCCGTCCAGGCCCCCAACGGCAAGACCTGGCTGGCCCCGGCCCCTCCCTCCGAGTTCCAGGTCCGGACACCGCGGGTGAACTGCCCGGAGAAAGTGGTGAGTGGAGGCAGACCCGACCAACACCCCCCACAATCCCCCCCCGGGACCCCCATGGCTTCTGCCCTCCCTGCATGATCCATCTATGTATGGATCAACCCATTTTTTGTCACACACACACCGTTTAACCCAGGGGTAGGCAACCTTGGCTCTTTTATGACTGGTGGACTTCAACTCCCAGAATTCCTGAGCCAGCATGGGGGAACTATGGTCCCTTCATGACTGGTGGACTTCAACTCCCAGAATTCCTGAGTCAGCATGGGGGAACTATGGTCCCTTCATGACTGGTGGACTTCAACTCCCAGAATTCCTGAGCCAGCATGGGGGAACTATGGCCCCTTCATGACTCGTGGACTTCAACTCCCAGAATTCCTGAGCCAGCAAG